GTGTCTGCCCTTTATGCCCATGAGCTCAATAATTACCCACACTGATCCCCACAACCTTGCAGAATGTCCTGTCACACCACTACCAACAATGCATTTCTCTCTGTCTGCAGTTCAATTACATTACATTGTTGCCATCACTTCTTACCGGTCTTATATATACAAGAATACCGCATATCTAATAACCTCTCGACAATTCAGGAAGGGACACGAACGTTCTAGAACCGCCTGACGTGTTACTAGCATCACGTGACGCCCGCTGTCGTAACAGTACCATTGTAATGTGCCATATTTATAACAAAATAATCTCTCACTACACTGGCTCATACAAAAGAAACATTATTTTTATAGAAGAATGTAACTTATCCTTCCTAAACAAGATCCCGGGAGACTTCTACCTTATTTTTCATAAGTACCATTGTAACATGCCATATTTGTAACAAAATAATCTCTCACTAGACTAGTTCATACACTTACTATTAAAAACAGCATGCTGGCTTTAACTAATAACCACATACAGACAAAACAATAGTTGTTATTTATCATTGATATACAGTATTTAATAAATGTTAACATTTTTCTACACTGAAAATGTATTTCTGATAGGTTACCCCCACTCACGTAATAGCTTTTCTCGACTTTTGCTGCCCTCTATATACCCAATTTTCGCTTGCCACTTGCCTTAATGCTCCCACCAACCCTTACGTGTTTACACATGGTATAGCTGCACTGTAGTATGCAAATAATTATGCAACAATTCTCCACCAATAGGAGTGCAACACACTCTCTTTGCACAGTGGGTTCCCTCTATATTGTAGAGTAGTTTCATATTTTCGAGATTAGGCAAAATGATGCCCAGGATTGGGGAGGACAGGTGGAAAAAGTGAGAAGAGATATCTATCTGGAATACATTTTCAGTTAAAAAAATTTTAAATTCCTATACAATACCTTACCTCTTCTCACATAATTGCTAGAATCCCATCTTAAAATGGTGAAGGGGCCCATGCAAAAGTTACCTAGATGAGCACTCTTTGGAAGGTGCCCAAAGAGAACTCACGGAGTGTGATATCCCAATGTATAGGGTCACAGCCATGGGAGACTGCACTCCACCTCTACTAGGTATACTCTTTTCCCATTGTAAAGATACATGTTGCTAAATTGGGTGGAAAAGATGCATGTTCAATCTGTAACTGGATATGCCAGATGGTGTAAAGTGGCTAGGGTACATCAGACCATATTCAGTGGATCAATTTAAGTTCAAAACTAGGCACCATTGGGTATTTATCTTCCAGTCCACGTCAGTAGGGGAGCTCAAACTATTTTCACCTCAAGACCAGGAATCAGAAGGTAAAATGATTTTCATTCTGACAATCCAGTCGGATCACGTGTTTGTAGATTCAACACCAGGCCACCCAGGAACCCAACATCCTGGTAACATTAGGAAGGGGGAATGCAATGAGGGGGTCAACTCCACTCCAAAAACTTGGTATTATCGGGAATCTTTCATCCATTTCACAGAAGGAGAAGGGCCCCAAACAACCACATGTATGAGGACTTATGTTGGTTGGACCTACACCAAACCAATGCCAGACTGCCCTGGAGCCAACATCCAGGTAATAGCAGTATGGGGAAAAGCCAGCCAGAAAAGTGATCTACATACGGTGGATTCATCTGAATTCAAAACTAAGCAACATCAGGTATTTTTCTTCCATTCCATGATAAGAGGATATTACTCACCATCTACGTCAACAGAACACACCACTATCCTACACTATCCATGGTACACCACCTCAGTGGCTAGGAATTGGTAAATGGTAAGGGCTCCCATACTTCACTGGGAGAGAAGGGGAAGAATGTAGTGGGAAGTCCAGAGGAACCCTATATTGTAAGAGAAAGCAATGGGTGACCACAAAAAAAACTATTTTTAAAAGTAGACCACTTCTGATTTATTCAACTAAGATAGGAGGGATGGGCAGCAATTCCAACACTGCTTTACTCATGATAGTCCATGAGTTGGTACAGTCTGGTTTGGGCCTTATATATATGAAGCAAGACACCACGAGGCAACCTCTAGCAGTCTTGTGGAACACTCCATCTCTTCATTAAGCATTGTAGATCTACATGGCTGTATGATGCAGATTTATAATGAAGTATACCTGGACAGGCACCCCTCACTACAGAGGAGGATGCAAGAAATAACCCAAAGGCCATTGTAAAAGTAAGAAATAAAGAGAAGGAACTTACCCTCTCAAAGTCAAAATGAGGTGTGGAGAATGGTGGCAAGTGATAGCCAGATGAGGAGAAGATGACCAAATGATGCAAGTAGTGGGCTATAAAAGTGTCAGGTGTGGTCCACATGCCAATTCCAGCCTATAAAATCTTCACTAATGGGTGACAGAAGTGGGCAGCC